GTCGGAAGGGCCTGGAGTCCCAGGCCAGTTGATTGCTGGGTGGGACAGCAGCTGCTCTGGAGACCAAGGGGCGTGGGGGCAGTGGTGTCCCTGCCTGCCCCAATGGGTGCAAGGGAGGCAGAGTGTGGAGATATTTCTGCTCCCCCTAGTCTCTGTTGTTGGCTGCCCACCTGCACAGTGGCCTGTTGTGTGCCTTCCTCATCCCTCTTTCCCCTCCTCGCCTGCTCGTCACACAGGCTTGGGGTACAGCAGTCACGTTCCCAGCACACTTCTGCCTCAAAACCCTGACAGCCTCTGGGTGCCACGGCAAACCTTTGCCCTTGGTCACCATGGACTGATGTAGGGCTGGAGCAGCTGAATTCCCACCTTTGGGGTTGTGTCCTCCTGGAGAGGAGCCAGGGAGTTGCTGGGCAGCTGCACGCTCTCGGACAGCTGCCTTTGTGCTGAAGCCGTGATCTCTGCTCGCTGGAAGGAGGCTGCAGCTTTGATCAGCACAGCCTTGGCTGCTCTGATGCAGCGTGTCACCAGCCCCTTGCCAGGGACGGAGAGGAGCTGTGGGACTGCAGCCTGGGGACAGGGACAGTGTGGTGGCTCCCTGGGGGATCCTGCCTGCTGCAGGTGCTGGGGAAAGTAATTTCTCAGGGTGATTTCTGCTTTCTGTTGCTGCAGGGTGTGTGAGCAGCCAGCCTCAATGGAGCCTCATGAGTGGCCAGATGACATCACCAAATGGCCGGTGAGCATGGCTGGTGGCACAGGGGAGCTGGAATGTGGCGTTTGCATCCCTCTGTGCAGAGCCACAGCTGGGTTGGTAGAAGGGCTCTCTGGTGCAGCCTCCTGCTCGTTGTCACAAACACCAGGTCAGGGCAGCCATGGTTTTGTCTAGCCAAGGCTCAAAGCCCTCCAACAACAAAAGCTTGCCTGTTCCAACTAAAGCCCTGCTAAAGCCCTGGGCCCTGCCAGGGTAACAGGGTGATGGAGGCTGACTCCACCTCTGGGCTGTTCTCATCCCTCGGCAGGGAGGAGGTGTTGACTGAGGGTCAGGCAGATGGGGTGTTAGGCACCGCCTTGCTGTCAGAGGGAGGCCTTGGGAGGCCCGTGTCTGGGGCTGGCTTCTTCTCAAGGGCCTGTTTTGACTTTACCCAGGCAGCAAGCAAAGCCATGGCTGTCTGACTGCAGCCTGTTGTCATTTTCCAGATCTGCACAAAAAACAGTGCTGGGAATTACACCAACCACCTTCACATGGACTGCGTGATTACAGGCCGGCCCTGCTGCATTGGGACCAAAGGAAGGTAATGAGTTTTACCTGTACAGAGAGGGGCTGGGTGTTGCGGTGAGACACAGGGGGCCCTTTTCAGGTTGTAGACGCCCATTTGTCCTTCTTGTCCTTCCCACATGCAGTCCAGAGCCCTGCTGGGAAGGGGAGTTGGAGAGGGAACCATGACTGGTCTCCCAGACGGAGCAGGACTCTGGGATGAGCAGGAGATAGATACCCTGCTGCACTGAGGACTCGGGCTGGCTGTTACCTTGCTCAACTGCTCTTGCAGTCTGGAGGGACTCGGATCCCGGCGGATTAAATACTTCTGCTTGAGAAGTTGCCCAGTGCTTGGGCCTGGCTTTCCCTGCTAGGGAGAAAAATCAGTGCCGTCCCAAGGAGTTTCTGTCCCTGAAAATCATGACCAGGATGTGCTCGGCCTAGGGCCCCCCCTTTCCACTCTGTCAGCTAAGAGGCGCGAGACTCCCCCAAGCCCCAAAGACACAGCTTCCCCAAGCTCTGGTGCTTCTTTCTTAGCTGTAAATAGCTCAACTTTAGCAGTTGTTTTGGATCCCCTACGCAGGGCTTTAGCCTGTGGAGGCGACGCAGGCTTGCCTGTGGGAGAGAAGCAGGAGGGGTGGATGCAGAGTGGCACTGGGCTCAAATGGGAATAGGTCAGTGCCTCTGTGGCAGAGAGGCTACCGCGTGGCAGGGACAGCTGAAGGCGTGAATTCTCAAAGGCAGACTTGGGATGAGACATGGGGGAGTGGGTGGCCTGGGAGGACACAGGATGGTCCATTGTGCCTTCTTTGTGTGACTTGTTCCTCATTTTGGTAATTGTGCCTCTTCCAGGTGTGAAATAACCTCCCGGGAGTATTGTGAATTTATGCGGGGCTATTTCCACGAGGAGGCAACGCTCTGCTCTCAGGTAGGTGCGGAGTTGGGGGTCTGTTGGGCTGCCCTTCTTCCCTCCTGTTCCTCTTAGCAGCTTGGTGAGATCTGGGGGCAGCTGTGCTGCAGTGTGGGTGGGAGTCCTGTGTCCTGTCCCACCCTGAGCCCAAGGGAGGTTGCTGATCCAGGCTGCAGTGGCAGAGCTGGCTGCATCTGTCCCCCTTTGGAGATCAGTTTAGGACTTGGGCTGGCAGCTGCAAAAGCTCAGTACAGGACCACTGTGGAAGCAGTGGGAGAAAGCAACCTTCCTGCTCTGTTGGCGAGCAAATATGGATGTCTTGATTGCGTGTGTGTTGGTGAAGAATGAGGGCTTAAAGCTGCCATAGGGAATGGGTGGGGTTGTGTGGGACTTAGTGTTGGATACATGGGTTGGGACTTGACACCACGGAGAAGAGCCAGGAAAGCCCTTCCTCCAGAGCTTGCTGCAGCCTTTGCTCTGGCCTCAGTAACCAGCCATGCTGGCTGGCACTGGCTGGGACACCTCACAACCCCACCTCTGCTGCCCTAGGTGCACTGCATGGATGACGTCTGTGGACTCCTCCCTTTCCTAAATCCAGAAGTCCCTGACCAGTTTTACCGCCTCTGGCTCTCGCTTTTCCTCCATGCAGGGTAAGCATAGGTGTAAAACTTCCAGTGCCTGAGTGGGGGAACCCTGACCCCTGGGATTGCTATTGAGGGTTGTTCTGGCAGTTCCTTCCCTGGGGGACATGGTGGGGGCTGAGCTGTTGTCCCTGCTGAGATTTACCAAGCTGCGTTTGCTGGGAGGGATATTAGAGGTGTGGGCAAGGCCAGACCAGGAGCTCTCAGCAAGGCTTGGCGAAGACGACCAGCACAGGGGTGACTTTCAGTGGCTGCTGCTTCAGCTCCTGTACTCTGAACTTGGCAGGATCCTGCACTGTCTGGTTTCAATCTGTTTCCAAATGACGATCCTGCGGGACCTAGAGAAGCTGGCAGGATGGCATCGCATCTCTATCATCTACCTGCTCAGTGGCATCACTGGGAACCTTGCCAGTGCAATATTTCTACCCTACAGAGCAGAGGTGGGTGTCCCGCAGACTAGGGTTCTGGTAACTTGCCCTGAACACAAGCCTTCTCTACAGGCCTGTGCCTCTCTGGGAGAGGCAGAGACCAGAGCTGGGCTCATCTCTGCAGCACGTGGCTTGTGCAGATTTGTAGCTAGAAGGTAGCACCACACTGTCACGTCGCTGCTGAGCAATAACATCCCTGAGAGCAACCTGGGCTTCCCAAGTGAGCGGCCCGGTCTGGCTGCAGTGAGCTGGCTGCCTCTCGTAGTGAATGGGGTGGGGTTTGTCCAACCACAGGGTAAGAGAGGCCCCTGGCAGGCTGGGAATCGAGATCTGTACCTGGTGCCAGAGACCCTCCACGTGCGAGTGGCAGGCAGGAGAGGGGCAAAGAGCAGAGCTCACCTTTCCCAGGCTGTCCAGGACTGTCTGGGTCCACATGGCCCAGCTGGAGAAGGCTGATGTGACCATCCAGCTTCACTTTAGAAGATTGCATGGCAGGACCTGGAGGACTGTCTTTGAGGTCCCTCAATAAAGAGAAGTGCATAATGGGTGGGGGGAGCGAGGAGATTGCCTTCAGGGACTCCTCCACGCTGATGACTCGGACCAGATCTGCCCTCCTCAAATACAAAGTCTGTTCTGGTGACTGGGGGCCTCACGCCTACCTCGGTCCTAAGATCAAACCAGGCCCCTTTACTCCCTGAACCCCATTATAAGGATGAAGTTGCAGGCTGCGGCATCTCTTTCCCAAGCAACGCCGAACAAGGAGTTGAACGATAACGAACTGTAATGCCTGGGGCTGGGTGCAGAAGCCAGGCAGATGGCGAGTGCCTGATGTTACCTGTAATGCTCTTCTTCTGCAGGTTGGCCCCGCGGGATCCCAGTTTGGGATTCTGGCCTGTCTCTTTGTGGAGCTCTTCCAGAGTTGGCAAATCCTGGCACGCCCATGGAGGGCTTTCTTCAAGCTGCTGGCTGTGGTGCTCTTTCTTTTTGCCTTTGGCCTCCTGCCTTGGATTGATAATTTTGCTCACATTTCAGGATTTATCAGCGGTTTCTTCCTCTCCTTTGCCTTCCTGCCCTACATTAGCTTTGGGAAGTTTGATTTATATAGGAAGCGATGCCAAATTATAATTTTCCAGCTCATCTTCATTGCACTCTTCTCAGGACTTGTGATTTTGTTCTATTTCTACCCCATCAAGTGTGAGTGGTGCGAGTTCCTTACTTGTATACCATTCACAGACAAATTCTGCGAGAAATACGACCTGGATGCACAGCTCCACTGAAGGCAAAGACTGGCTTCTCGAGCAGGCACTGGAGATGGACTGTCTTTGCGTTCGCTGTGCCGGTTCCGTGTGGACAAAGCCTCTAATCCAATGACACTTCTAACCCTGCCCGTGGTTAATTTAAACTGTCTCCTTAGCACTTGGCAGGCATGTTTTGCCTTATCTCAGAAGACTCTGAAAACAGAACGTTTGTGCCTTGTTCAATTGTATTGAACCTTTTCTGCTGCCATTATTTTTATTACACTAGTTTCAATACTACATTTTTAACCAGAGAGTTGTTTACTACTGCTAAGGTGGTGATTAAATGGTAAGGTAGCGTTTTAGCTACTGTTAATTGTTCTGCCTAGTCTGCGGCTACGTTTGTTACCTTCTCTCACCTATGCTGTTTCATGTACCAGCAGAATCGGTCATTTTCTAGCATCCAAAGCAGTCAGAAGCAGATTTGCAGCTGGAAATAAGGGCCTCAAAAAAAAAAAAAAAAAAGAGGGTCTCTTTAATCAGTGAGAGTGTGTTCCAGGTACAGCTCGGAAGCAGACATTTCAAACAGCAACTGCAAAAACACCTGAGAAGATCCCTTCAGCTGGAATCTGTTTCTCTTTGAAATGTTACAACCTTTTCCTCCAGGAAGGTGCTCGGTCCACAGCTTGGTTGTGGTAGGGCTGGATTCTCTGCTCGCTCTGTTAAAGAAAGAAGATACTTGGCAGTGACAACAGTTACTGCATGCTGGGCTCCCTTGTCACCACACCCAGACAGTCCCGGGGGCATCAGCCAGGGCCATGGGTGACTGCTGGTCACGGGCACCGTGGGGCAGAGGGCTTTGGTCGTGGCACACGCTTTATTACCCGGGGTGTTGCAAATGTGGCAGCATTGAAAGAAGCAAAAAAGTTACTGTGGTCACAGAGCAACAGTTTCTAAGCCAGCCAGCTGGAGCCACACAACAAAAGAATCATAGAATAGAATCATAGAATCATAGAATCGCTTTGGTTGGAAAAGACCTTTAAGATCATAGAGTCCAACCGTTCCCCTAACCCTGCCATCCCACCACTAAACCCTGGCCCTAAGCACCTCATCTATCCTTCTTTTAAATACCTCCAGGGATGGGGACTCTACCACCTCCCTGGGCAGCCCATTCCAGAGCCTGACAACCCTTTCAGTGAAGAAGTTTTTCCTAATATCTAACCTAAACCTGCCCTGGCGCAGCTTCAAACCATTAAAAGAACCCCCAAGCGTTTGGAAAAGCTGCTCTTACCGCTGCTCTTCAGACACTTCGACTACGTTTTTAGATGGTGGGGGGGAGCAGACATAATTTTAAACTTCCGAATTTGAGAGTCTTGTGTTTGTATGCACAACTTTCTAAAACCAGCAGTGTAATACCAGAATGATGTCCACATAGGTTACAGCTGGGTGAAGAGAGGTGCTACTGGTGCTTCCTGCGCTGGAAGTGTTTTTAAATGCACCAATTGCAGAAGGTTGTCTTGTGGTATGTCCTGTCTTCTGCAAACAATTAATTGGTTGAACGCAAGTTTCTATAAACCAGAAAATGAAGAAACTGAGAGACGACAACTACAGGATATGTACGCCGAGGTCCCTTATCCTAACTCCTTAGAGCTTGCAGTAATTGAGAGACAGCTCAAACTACACCCGCTGTGGAACAGCAAAGAACGCCCTGTGCTTGCTGGTTGCGTTTGCTTATGCTCACCCACGGGATGTTTCTGTTTGCTGCAGGTGCTTCAAACGGTACAGGAGGGCTAGGAGCAGGGTGGGAGAACAGTCAGGGGGGTGTGAGAGGCTGAGGCAGACAGAAGGACCCAAATGACCTGGGTGGCGGCTGTCACCTCTAGCTCAAAGAGACCTCCGTCCTCCTAGGGATTAGTTAGCGCCCTGCCACGTTCCTAGCAGCGATGTCCAGAGATTCAAGAAGCCTAAAAGCAAGGAGGGTCCTAGATGCAATCACAAGTGCAAAGGAACGCTGCATTTAATGAATCTCAAGACACCCCAGGAGCAGCTTCAGAGTCTGAGCTGAAAGTAGGGTTAGAGAGAGATACACCGCTGCCAGCGCTCAGCTGTTGCTGCTCCCGATGCACCTTAACTGAAGTAGCTGAATTCCCATTCCCCGCCCTGAGAAGCACAAGCAACACAACCAGGCTGTGCAAACAGACCAGAGCCAGGGCACGAGCCGAATGCCGACAGGGGCGGTCAGAAACGCTCTGCTAGAGAGTGGAGAGCAGCAACACCAGCTGCTGCGAGGCTGGACACGACGGCCCGGGCAAGAGGGAGATGAACCATAGAATCGTTTAGGTGGGAAAAGCCCATCAAGCCCAACCGTTCCCCTACCCCTGCCATCCCACCACTAAACCCTGGCCCTAAGCACCTCATCTGCCCGGCTTTTAAATCCCCCCAGGGATGGGGACTCGACCCCTGCCCTGGGCAAGAAGTGGAACGTGTCCCATACAGACAGGGCTGTGTTAGCTGCTGCTTCACAAATCTGGTTGCTGTTGAAAATTTTTGCTACTTCTGAAGGAAGAGTTCAACCATTTGCATTTCACTGCATATACTGATGTAGCTCTTAACGGATGTCTAGGACTTACCTGACACGTTACTTTCGAAGTTTCTTGATGAAGCTGACCTCATCCCGGTTTCTGATGCCATACCTGAATGGAGAGTTACGCTGTTACACACCAGTTTCCCAGGAACCACAACCTTTGCAAGCCCATAGCCTCCTCTTTCCCAGGGAGCGGTGGCCTCCTGGCATCACGCGCTGTGCTCTACTGCAGGACAAGTTCAAATTCTCACGTGTGTATGTAGAACGTGCTGCCAGCGCTGAAGGATCTGATCCTCTGCCTTTTTAACGGCAACATCCCCTTAAATGCAACATCTGTCACCTGGGGCTCAGTTTTTCGAGGACAGCTTTGATTAGGGCTGTCTTGATACTTTTTTAATACTTCAAACAAGCTTTTCTTGCTGGTCTGCCTGCAGGCTGACGTACCCAGCGCTGCTGTATGCAACAGCTGGAGTGCTCAGAAGCACCTCCTGCCTCCTTGCCCCAAGAACAGGCATGGAAATGTGGGAGCACCACATCTGGATGTCTTGTAAATACCTCTCCAGGGATTGGGGACTCCACCACTTCCCTGGGCAGCCCGTTCCTCATGATGGGAGGACCTATCTGGGCCAGGGCAGAAGGTCCCTGCCTGTGCAGATGCTGTGTCACCCTAGGCTAGGCCTCCCCAGGCGCCGGAGGGGACTCGGTTACTCACTCTCTCAGCTTCTTTCTGTCATCTGCCAGTTTCTCCCCGGCGTAGGTTAAGTGGTATGTCCTCCATATGTACTTCCTAGGGGAAGAACGCTTTGGGGGAGCGGCGGGAGGCTCCGCCGGCCACGGGAAAGTGATG